TGATATGGTCTGGTGATCAGTGGATGTGTCAGAAGTTCCCTGATTTTCGAGACCGCCAGCAACCATGTACTTGAATGATTAAGTCTTGCACGCATCTAGTGCGGCACTTGCACATTAATAATGCATTAATGCAACTAAGTAAAGAGCTCGTTTGTGACGTTTGAAAATTTCAATTTTTTCTGTATTTTTCGAAAGGGAACTAACTCTATTAGTTTGCATGAAATCTGAGGAGAATATCTTCAGGGCGCGAGAGAGATCAAGCAAAATTCCGCGAACTGAGGACGGTTGCTTTCCTTCGTCACAATTAAATGTACAAGGAAATCTGCAACGTCGCAACCTGAAATAAGAATAGTTTCCCCCTTATTTCTGCGTCTGTGATAGGGCTTGGCTGCATATCAAAAGACGTATTGCAGATTTTTTTGAAATATAAATTTACTCATTTTTCCAGAAACACCTTAAGATCAACTTATTGACGTTCCTTAAAAGGGAAGAGGAGCCTGAACGGAATTGGGTGGATAGGAAAAGAAAGAGAAAAAAAATTTAAGGGGTGCATATTGTTCTCGACTGCGCGACGACCACCCGCGGTTGTGACCAAATCGTAGAAGTACTGAAAGTGCCCTTAAAATTGTATAGACTGAGGTTGTTTCTCTCCCAAAGATTGTTAGATGTTCAATTTTACGGAATACCCTAACACGACTAAGGCACACATACAAAAATAATCTAAAAATTTGACAAAATTTTGAACAGCGCGCTGTGTCGATTTTTTGCATAAACCCAGCCAAAGCTTCAGCAGGAAATCGCGAAGGCCTAAAACAATCTGTACCTCTGGAAAAATAGAAGAAGGAAAAGCAGAGGAAGAGGAATACTGATAAAAATAGGTGGAAAAATAGCGGAGATAAATGCGCACAGCTTCCCTTCCCCTTTTTAGATAGTAAGTTTGGCGTCATTTTTGTTGTTGTTATCTAAACCAGAAAAGATCTTGTTCGTACGATGACGCAGAGCTACTCAAAACTGATTCATCTTCGTTCCAAACTGCAGTATAAATGGTCAACAGCAGTCATATTTCAAAACAACGATCATGTAGGTCGCGTACATTTTTATCGGGTCACGCTGAAGCGAGTTTCGATTGTCACTATACATGGAAAGAAAACTGATGACTTCATTCAGCACACTTATGAATATTTTTTTTCGAACCTGTCTTTGATTTTAGGGTGCTGTTGTCAATAGACAGTACTCGTTGCGTTCGCCGATGCATGCTCTGTATGTATGTATACTGCCATGCTAAGGAAGAACGCCGTATGAGCCTTCAGAAGTTGCCAAGTTTCCTCCGATAAAAACCGAATTTACTGGTAGGTAAAATTGGGAATATTTTCCCCCAAAATTTCCAGACTATTTTGTGCGCAATTTAATCTAAATTTTATGAGAAAAATATTCATAAATATCGTCAAAAATACGTGTTTTATCGAGGGAAATTTGCAACTCTCGAATGTTCATACGGCGTTTTTCCTTGGCACGGCAATATACCTACATTAATATCGTTAATATCGATAATACATTAATATCGATGACCAAAGTTCGAAACCACGTATCTCCGTTTGCGACGTCGCAGACTCCCTGTCATGTTATATTTTTTTTTGAAAACTTCTTGGAAATCGCGAAAATTTTTCTTTCCTGTTAGCGGAGTATTCTGCATGGATTTCAAGCTGTAAAGTTGGCGTGTTTCTCTCGGTAAAATTAAGTAGGACCCGAAATTTTGAAACACCGCAATGGAGATACGTGGTTTTGCACTTTGGCTATCGATATGATGTTTGGGCTTGATGAACCGCGGTTATTGGAACTGGAGGGGTCGCGGTTAAGTAAAACCGCGTTGAAAAATACCTCGCGCCTACATAGATATCGCAGAGCTTGGGAAATAGATACTCGAAAAGACGGAAAACCCGGCGGTAAAAACTGTCTGAAGTTGGAAAGTGTATATCTCCGATTGTGGCATTGTATTTCCGTTCAAGTTTTATTTTTTTAAAAAAAAGAAACCAACAGTTTTCCTTAAAATTTTCTGTGAATTTTCTTCATTCATTCATACAAATTCAAAGGAAATTTCAAAGATATATTCTGGTTGGTTTTCTCTTAAAATATAAAACGTCGGAGATTTAGAAACATCGCAATGTAGATACGCATTTTTCGACTTTAGCAATCAAAATTAATTACTGAAAGGGCCTGATAGAATTAAGGGGCTTGAAGGACACGGCGCATAAGTGCAGTTTTTGAAAAAATTGAGATATTAATGATTTTAAGTAAAACTACCTAGTCTTTTTGCATATTCTGTGAAAAATTCGCTCCCCAATTCCAATTTTTAAGTATCAAAAAGTCAGTTTAAACTTCCTTTCCGCCAATAGGATCCATGTAAATCTAAACTTCAAACAGGTATTTCTCGAAATAGGAAAAACTGCACTTGAGCGCCTTGTCCTCCAAGCCCCTCGATTATTTTTGTAGACACCATACCGATTACTAGTTCTGAAAACGGAAACGTGACAGAAGAGCAATAATCAATGACTGATTAACCAGTCAGTAGTCTGATTAGTTCAGTAGTGGTTCTTCAAAATTGCAGCTTGTATTTTAATTTTTTGAAAAAAAAAAAATAAATATATTTATTATTATTATGACTACCTACATGAAATTTTTGTAGCCTCTAAAAAAAAAAATACAAACGAGAAAAGGCTGCAAAATCTCTCATTTCCTAAGAGTATAATAATCTCTTATTTTATCGTCTTTCAGTGATACAAGAGACAGCACCTTTAATTAGTCGAGTTAAGAGAGAAACCAAACACCTAATTTGGCCTGGAACGGCGCGACATAGGGAGAAATGATGATGAGGACTTGAGATGAAAAGGAGAAGCCCTCGGCGCGGCAATCGGCATGTAACACTAGCGCCTGCAAGACTGCACGAATACTTCACGCATTGCATCAAACACAGTGCGGTTATTGTGGTCAGCGTGAAACGGATAGCGCCTACAAGAATGCATGGATACCTCACGCATTGCGCCAAACAGTGCGGTCAGCGTGAAACGCATAGCGCCTACAAGACTGCGTGAATACTTCACGCATTGCGCCAAACACGGTGCGGTCGGCGCGGCGCGGCGGCGGAAGTTAAAATCATTAAACCAAAATTTGTGTTTGTTCTTTCATAATTTTTTCGTTCATTTCTTATGAATGAATGGCCCTGTTCATAAGAGATGGGTTTACGAAGCTTGACTTTCGCGCAAAGTTCCGTGACCTTTTGCTAGTAGTGTTGACAGGGCTTTCCCAAAAAATGTGTTCAACACGAGTAAACACGTTTTATGCACCCTTCCCCCGCTGGCACGTTCACTTGATGGTCTTTATTGATGTTTCAAAACGAATGAGAAGGGGGCGGCAAAATACAGGCGGCCCATGGGCGGCAAGTAGGAAAATCCGGCCCTGGCCTCTTCTTGATGAGGCGCGAGAAATTTCTGGTAAAGACTGATAAAATAATCATAAATATGGAGGCAGCAACTGAACTTTAAAAGACAGATATTTAGATACCTAAGTTGTTGGAAATAATTTTTTTCTAAAAAAAACCACACTCACACAATCTCCCTTTCATCTACACTTATATATAAATAAGTGAATTTGCATACCTATAATAATTAGATAGCAACTTGAAAAAAAAAGAAGCAAGATTAAAACAGAATTATTCATTTTCGAGACTGAATGAGCATAATTTTCCTTATGTTAAAAAGTGATAAAAGGAAGGACAAGAAAAAGAGAGATATTTTTATCTCCGAAGATGAATTCTGAAGCGATAACCTATTCGAATAGGGAACTCGGTTTTATGCTTTAATTTAAGGCTATAACTCACACCAGAGCTGTGAATCAATAAAAGTAAAACCAGGCAATAGATGTACACATGCAGGGGCATGAAAGGAAATGCAACACGTTATGAGTACATAAAGAGATAAGGTCATTCAAATAGCGGACACCTTTTTAGGGTGATTTCACAATTTTGGGAATAGTAGTGTCGCCAATTTTTGTTTTGGCATTTTTAAAGACTTTGGACAAAATTATCTGCAACTGTAATATTTGAGGCATCAAAGTCTCAGTAACTAAGATTTCTCATATTTTATGCATGGATCAGAAAACACTGAAAACTAAAGAGATGACACTGCTGTTTTTGTTGCCATATGCCGATACTTATTGGTGCTGAATTAGAAATTGCGCTAGATAAATTGACAGTTGTTTGTTATCCCTTCGCAAGTGGCTGAGTTGCCATCATATAATAGTAATTGAGGATTGACATGAGCACCGCAACCGCCACTGTGATTTAGCGATTAGTGCTCTGTTCGGAGATTCTTCACAGAGAGTGTATATCGACAACATAAGTTCGCAACAACGTACCTCGTTTGTCGTGTTTGAAAATCTTCGCCATTATGTTATTTCTTGAAAGGAGAACAAATTGAAATTATTCCTTGAAGTTTTTGCAGAATTTTTTTCACACAGAAAGGAAAAATTACAGCATTTTAGAGTTGCCATTGAGTAGTTTTCCGTTTGAAAATTAAGGTATGACAGGAAGTTTGCGACATCGCAAACCGGGATATGAGATTGCGGACTTACACTGTCGATATATGATAACTGTCAATCAGGGGTTGTGGATTGGTACACATCAAGGCAGCCAGCAATTTTGTTGGATGCGCTGCTGGATTCCCTAGCCATAACCAAAAGTCTTAGATCACCTGTCATCTTACTCGTGAACTCGTAAGAAATCCATCAATAGCACTTGCGTCAATTCGCAAAAATATACTCTATGGTAGATGGGTAATATTCAGAAACCTTCCGATTCTATCGAGTCAAAGTAGATTTAAACCTGCCTTATCTGCGTTGAATATGAGTTTGAACGTGGCTAGTCGCGTTCAGTTCAACTGCACCTAAGATTTCATCCACATACCCCTCGGCAGAAGATGAAATCGCTGATGAAATAACGGACTTACCCAATTCTTTTCGCTCCTTCGTTTTTTCAGGTCCTCCATCCCACAAGTGTGTAAGTTCAAGAACATTAAAAGTACAGGACTGTCGCTCCCTTAAGAGATCCTTGTTAATTGTGATAGATCCCATCTCTGCTTTTGCACTTGAAGAACTAACACAATACACCTAGGTCACGGACGTCCTAATATCCGAGGGAAAGCACTGGCACAATTAACAAACTACGAATTGAGTAATATTTGGGGACGATCACATTATTACGAAATACCACAACAATCAGGTGATGAGGACAAGTTAGAGACCAGAGTAAGTCGAAAAGATGACTTCAATAGATGATAAATAGATAGGTACTCAACGTCCGGTCACAAAAATTAAACAACTTGCAAAGAAATGGAAACGCGTTCGTTGAGACATCTCACAACTTTCTCGGATGAAAGTTTCCGCACGTTCTTCTTGATACCCGGAAAAGAACTGATAATGCATAGAGAAAAAAAAGGAGGTGTTTGCATTTCGGGCATCTTGGAATTTTTCATAGAGTATCTATAGCTTTGATGACGTCATTGGGTACGGCGACGTTTTTATCCTGTCGATTTTCTTGGAAATGGTGTAATTTAAGGGAAAAAGTCATTCTATAAAAAGTGCTTGAAATTAAATTAAGAGTTGATTTAAGTAAAAAAAATCGGACATTATGGTCCGTTTTTACAGCGTCAACATAACCCTCAACGAGCGTCTTGTTTACATTGATGACGTAGGTGGGTACAAATCCTCAAGATGCAAACACCTCCTTTTTTTTCTCTATGCTGATAATGTGTTTCACGCACGATTGAGGTTAAACTGATTTGTTGATGTAATCACTTAATCAGCGAATCAGCTGACGTGTGTACGTGAACCACCTGTGAATCTGCGCAGAAACGTGTTTACCTTTATCTAATGCTTATCATGCGCAGATTACGTTATCTTCAAAACGCGCGTGATTTCTGGCGGGTATTTTGAATTTGCGGACTTTTCCTATCATTGAATTCTCAACTGATGCACTTGAGAATGACGGAACCGCAATTAAAGTTTAAACTTTTAAGGTAGCACCCAGCCTCAGTTGAGAACACAGGTGAACCTGGTGTAAGTACTTATTTATCTGCTGTTCATGAGAGGCAATAAAAATGAGGTTTTTGGAAATATGAGAAGGCAGACCATGCTTTTTGGAATAAATATATTAGTAGAGGTATTGAAATCGAAGCTACTAAATCACTGATCTCTTGCAGTGTTTTAAATTTCCGCTCACATTTTTTTTTTCAAGAGAACTCTGCTTTTTTAACTGCTGAATTGATTCGTTGTCAAATGAAATTTTGAAGCGTTGCAATGCAACCGAGTCCCTTTGGGTGTCTCTCTCTTAAAATATCTCTTTAAATATTCTCTGAGCATTAGTAAGAGCATGAACTTTTTTCGCTTTATTTTTTATTTAGATGCTCAGCTTTTATTTGATAAAATGTAGAGGAAACAGGCAAATACAAAGAGTACCAAACTGTTTAATAAAATAATGTATTTTATTAAAAAACTTAAAAATAATGACTAGTTTTTTATATAAAATTAAAGGTTAATAAAGTGGCGGTGTTCCCTCAAAAAGGGGTACCATTTATGTGCTGGCCTTTGAGACGGTTCCTGAGGAACTTTTGGAATTTCATTGGGAACACTATTCTTTAGGTGAGTGCTGTCAGTAGATTGAGTAAGGCGTAGTAAAAAATTAACGATGGCAGAAACCGGCACATCATTTCCTCCTATACAGAGCTTGATCTGCTCATACAACTTCTGAGTAAGAACCACTGTTGCCATCACAGCACGCTCAATGTCCTCAGAGACCCCGATGAAGGCTGCTCCTAACTCATTGACAGCAGATACAAGGCATGAGGGAAAGCTGTTTTTTTCCTGACACTCCACTATCATTACTGATGCATTGGAAATTATGCTTATTGCATCCATTGTCAAATTTTTTATTGTCTTCATCAATCGTTCTTCCTCGACGATATTCGCCATTGCATTTATGCACTCTTGGAAGTCATATTGAGCATTAGGATGATTGAAGAGGCCATCTTCGACGAAATCTAAAGCTTTGCTCCCAAAATTAGTTGGTTCATTATACCTTGTTTCTTTGACCTCAGATTTTATTTCATTTATATCATAATCAAGTGGTATTCGATCATCTCCAACAAGATTTTGTTCATCATTCAAGTTGCTCATTTCTTCACTGTGAAGTTCTTCTACAATTTTGCAAGGTGGTTTGATTAGGTCTACTCTCAAATTTTCACTACCTTTCCTGGGGTGATAGAGGTCATTACGGTTTTGCAAGTTGGCCTGAACAGAATGAAAAATAAAGGAATAGATGAGAAACTGACAATGAGTTAGATGTACCTCCTCCAATGGCAATAGGTAAAAAAATATATAAATCTCTACAAGAGAATCCCAAAAAAGGTTTTGAAATACATGAAGTAAGAGACTTTTTTTTTTTTGGAACAAAAAACAACCTTGTACTTTTACAAGTTTTCATCACTTTCTTCTGGTAATCTTTAACGAGACTTGTATGTAAATTTTTAGTTTTTTAAGTGGCACATTTTGCAGTTAACTTTTTACAGTTCACATATAAATATTAACAACTTTTAGAAATTGAAAATAATTCGATGGTAATTTTTCCAGAGAAGTTTTTGTGTAAATTTTACATGACTCTAATTCTGAGTTTACATCAAATTAATTTGAATACTTATCTGACACTAGATCCACCATGTGTATTCATGATTGCATTGAAACTGAATGCAATAATAATGACAGCAGTTCTACCGTCTTACTCTCTTACTTTAATATCACAAGTATACTCAGAAAAACCTGCAAGACAATATTCCCTCATGAGGAATAGACTTGTTTTTAATCTCATGGTCATGCAGAGCTGGAATTAATACTGCATTTTGTCTAATTAACAAGCTTGCAGTAGATACTTTCTTTGCTTTGTACTCTCCTCCAATCGAGCTTCAAAGGAAAGAGAGCCCTTTCTCCTGACAGAATTTGACAAAATTATTTTGAAAAAACTTTGGTGCGATTTAGTTAGATCTGAATGGTGCCATGGAATAGTATATCATCTTTTTTGCGAGCGAGTTTTGTTTAAATCAACATTTTTACTAAAAACAAGACAAATATTTACAAGAAATCGTTTGAAAAAGATTATGGTTTCATTAGCTGATGTATTTTCAACTTCCACATTATTTAATAGTTTTTTTTCTTCATACCTTTCGCCAAGAGATAATAAGCTTTTAGAATTAAAGAGTATTTTATCCAAAAGTTCTGCCCTCATACCTTTTAAATCTTGTTTAGAAGGTAGAGGGGAAGATTTTTGAGAGAAGGATGACAGTCTGTGTTTTTGTGTTATGTAGTATGTGTATGTAAACTTGGCCAAATGGACGGATAGCCATAGACAATGATGAAAATGACAGTCCATGGAAACAGACTAGGCAAAAATGAAAGAGGTATGTACTATGACTTGAAGCAAAGAGTGACCAACAAAGGAGAGAAAAACAATTTCAGGGAAGGGCAAATTTTGTTTAAATTAACATTTTTATTAAAAACAAAACAAATATTTACAAGAAATCATGAAAAAGAGGAATTCAAAGGATTAAGTACAAAAGGATTCAAAAGGGATACATCGGATTCAAAGGCTTCGCAAAAAATATTTCAAGGTTCTCATTTTATCTTCTACAATAGATGATAGAAACCTAATTGAGCTTGATTCAAACAGATTCTCCACGAAGCACAACTTTCTTGATTAAATTTGTTTGCGATTATCAGTTATAATCACTCTAATTTGATGATCTTCTCACAAATTTAAACTTATGGTAAAAAATATTGGAATCAAGTTCTAGGATTTAACTTTCATAGATACCAAATTTTTCTGTTATATTGAAAACTAATTGAGTTGTACACTTCTAAACGGACAATGAGGTAAAATAGACCGCTTACTGTGCATTACCATACCATACAATAGTCTTCTATAATTTATACTGATAAAATTATGAAAAGATGGATTCATTCCATAGCATTTTCTATAATTTTTCTAAACTATATTATGATAATTCACCTTAAATTATAAAAAAAAAAACAACTATGAATAGTTTCTCTGTGATAGGAATAGAATTAGGAAACTTGACATGCATGTGGGTCCTACAGCTATATGCTGCAGAAATACTTGTTAAACAAATGAGGTAATGCAAATTGTTGTGCACTAAAATTTTCTAGGAGGATATTCGGAACATACAGAGGGTTATGAGGGCACATTTAGTCTGTATCATGATTTTTGATCCAAATATCAGATAACACCAGACAAATGGGACTTTTTCACATTGATTTTTGGGAACACCACTAGATGCAGATTCCTTTTTTGCAGTAAATACGCTTTTTCAAAACTACGCATACATAAACATATCTGTTTGCTTATTGAAGTCCAACTGGATAAAACATTTGAATAATGTTTTCCTTGAAATATCAACCTACGCAAAGTAACAAAGGTTTTGGGATGGAGTAATTTCCGTCCCTCTTACTCTGAAAGAATCTACAAGGCAAAGGAATCTTTAAGTAAAATTTTGAAAATCACGTTTACCTGAATGATAGCGATGCTTGCAAAAAGGCAAATGCACTTAAAAGAAATCATTATTTTGTAGTTCAAAAATGAACTTTAAACGAACTGCACGAATTAACAGATTGACTGTAGACACCAGTGTGAGAACAAAATGGTGATAACATCTGAGAGTTAGAGTAGATGAAAGTAACTGATAAAAGATTTCATGGTGATGAACAAACTCCTCTTTGGTTTTAATTTTAAGCTTGATTTCTTCTCACTGAAGTGTCTCACAAAATAAAGCTTATCACTTCTCAAGTACCTCTTTTATCAAAAACGTAATGGGACTCTCAAGAAATTGAGTCTTTGACTGAGTGTGTAAAGTGTCTGTGGCCATTAGTCAGTCATCAATCAGTGTTTATCTGCATTGAATGGAGAGATATTCTTACGCCGACAAAGGGCCAAGAGAAAATACCTTAAGACTATAGAGGCGGAAGTGACAGAGGAAGCTGATAATGAAACTGACCATAGGCAAAAAATTATTTTGATGGATTTGTCTTGATTTTATAAAAGCAAATCTACATTTTTATCAAAATGTTAAACTCTGATAGTTATAAAAAATTAACGAGTAACAATGTTTTTTTCACAGATTTTTTAGAGAAAAAGGTTCTTAAAATCATAAGCTGATTATTTAAAATCAGATATCTCATATTACTGATGGAGACAGTTTAGGAAAATTTAATAATTAATGAAAATAGAATTTTTTCTTCTTTTAAAAGAAAAAAACATATTAAATAAAATAAAATTCAACAGATTTAACAATAAATCACAGATTCCTTAAAAAAGAAAGAAAGGAAAAAAACCGGGCGGAATTTTTCTTTTAGTCCTCCTGTAAGAATATAATTTTTAACAATCCTTCCGCCCTGTCCAATTTTCTCTCCTGTCATAATTTTGAAAAATTATAAAAAAAAAAATAAATAAATAAAGTGCATCAATCATATTTTTAAGAATATAAATTACTCTTTCACAATATGATTAAGACCAAATTATGTTACTATTTCAAACGAAGGTTCCAACCTTGTTTGTTCTTTGAGAATGAAGGAGGCGTAACTATCATTTCATTTGAAAGTTACTGAATATTTTGTTATTTTTCTTTTTTTAAATACTTACAATAAAATTGTAAGCCAGCTACCAAATAATGTAAGAGGAGGCGCGATAAAATATTAGATAAATTTTCAAAATTCTCGTGTTGAAGAATTCAGAGGTTTTTTAAAAAAATTTTGAGAGAAAATTTGCCATTTTTTTAAATTACTGTTTTAATAATAACTTGAGTCTACACGAACTTGCCATCCTCACTAGATATGTATTGAATCAAGTATACTATAATTCAATGAAAAAAGAAGTAAAAAAAAAATAATAATCAAAGCAAGGAAACAGCCCGAGGAAAGCTGAGAATATTCATACACTGATTTTTAAAATGATAATTTTGATAAATATCTATGGCACTTGAAAAACTTGTCGGAATCAATGATGATTCAATGTGCTCATTCAAGTTCTTACGTTGAAATCTACTTTGAAAACGTAACTGAAGTTTATTGAAAATAAACCTACAGAGAAAATTTTGAATTTTGAAACGAAATAAAAATTAGCCATATTAAAATTTATCAGTGTTATTTTTTCATTTTAGGAACATAACTGCCTGAAATCTGAAGTTTTGTGCCTTTCTAGTAGGCTTAAAAAATTAATTTGACTTAACTTCAAGATGGACTAATCATTCCAAATAAATGATAACAAGAAAGTTATAGTCTAGAAATACTACTCACATGTTATTTGGGCAGTTTGACAGTTGATACTATTATTCAGTGTTATGGGCGGTCTATTACCCCTCAAGGGGAAAGATATTTTATCGTTCAAAATTACTATTCCATAAGAGTCAGATTCGATCCCATGAGTCTTAATCGGCGTTGCTTTCATGTGTTTTTGGAATCCTAGATTATTACAAATTTTGTCAAATTTGTTGGTCTTGAATGGATATTTCAAGCACTCAGGATGCCAAACGCCGAACGATCTCCTTCGAATAATTCCTTCGTTTCCGTTTGAGTTGGCATAAAATGACAGGCAATACGACTCATCATCACCATATGGACAGTCTTGGGCATCATCACAAACAAAATCAAGCGGCAGACATATAGTTGAGTTGGCACATTTATAAGAAGTCTCAAGGTCGCACAAGCTGGGGCAGTCCAGTTCGTCAGTTTTGTCATGGCAATTCCTTCGATTATTGCAGACCAGAGAGGGATCTTTTAGCTTCAAAAAATCGACACATTTGAAATTAACACAGCTAGCAGGCTCATCTCTCCCGTCCGAGCATTGCTCGCTGCCATCACAGATGCTGGAAATAGGAATGCATGAGCCATCTCCACAGTCTAATTCATTTGCAGCACACTTCTCACAGGCTGTTGAAGCGGGATTTGATTGACAGAATTCTCTTTTCAACGCTTGAGCATTCTCACTCTCATCCGATTTTGTTTCACAATCTGGAGTGCCATCAAACACTTTGTCCCATGCGATGCACTTCCCAAATACACATCGAAAACCATCGCACTCCAATGATGATGAATTTTGAACGCTTACACTTTCTAGAAGCGAAGGAATATTTTCATGAATCACTTGACCATTTTCAAGTTTCAACAAATCAGAATCACACGGAACGCTGTGTTTTACTCTCGCAGCAATATACCACCCACTCTCTCCAAAACAGGCAATATCGCCTATGTGAAGATCCTGTTGGTCAACCTCACATTCAGGCGCGTAAAAACATCTACGCCCGTAACATTCTGGTTCTTGGGCTGGTTTAAGAAAAACCTGTGTGCTAGAATTTGACTTATTGTGCATTGCTGCCACACATTTTATATCAAATTTACTATCCTCGTAGTTTGAAGCTGATAATAGAAGAGGTTTGACGTCAGCACTTGGTTTAATAGAAGCTCTGAGGTGTAATACAGCAGCTTTACTCTTGGGTTCATTGGTTAAAAAGTCGATATCTATGACTTGTTGATAAGGTGATAGCATAGGAGACCGCTGATTATTTCGTCCAAGAACCGCAACAACTATTTCTTCTTCAAAATCAAAATCACACGATGTGTCCGCCAGTAACCACTGATCGCCGATCAAAATAGCAGTACAGTTCCACACTCCATTTGAGTAGATATCAGCAAGCCAAGGATAAGAATTCATTCCAAGTCTCTGGGAGCACTTGACGCTCAGACCTAAACATTTGTTATCTCCTTCAACTGGATTTCGTTGCACACTGTCATATCCGTCAAAGCCGAGTTCAGAGCAAGTGCGATTTGCCATATTCTTATCAAAAGCTTCATCATCAGAATCCTCTAAGCAGATGGGATGCCAGATATTCTCGAAGTCGTTGATAACCAGTCCAGAGGATATTGCGGAGAGCTTACGAGCCTCGATGACGTTTTCTGCAGAGGTGGTGGAATTTAGAGAGTAGCAATTTTCCTCATCCTCATTGAACAAGCAGTCCTGAATATCATCACACCTCAGTTCTGCAGGAATACAAGTCTTGCTTTTGGGACAATCAAAGTCCTTTTCTGAACATGTGCTGTTGCAGTTTGACTCATCAGTGTAATCGGCACAGTGCAAAATACCATCACAAATTGCGGAGGGATCGAAATTCAACAGATAATCTTTGCAGGAGCAGAGTTGTTCGTCTGTTTTATCGAAGCAATCAGGAAAACCGTCACAGCGTTTTGCACCAGTAATATACTGCTCCACAGTTTTACACTGAAATTTTTTCGGTACCATTATGTCCATGCTGTATTTCTTAAAAGGTTCTCGAAGCATCTTTCCTTTGCGGGAGTTCTTGAAAGAATTTGTTCCTCTGACACCTGATGGATCCGTGTCCTTTAAACTACTGGTAACATCAGTCAGCTCAGTGTTCGGTTCTGAGGTTGTTGTACGTAGGTTCTCGTTTTCATCCGAGTCTAGAGGTCCACTGTCTTCGGTCGGTTTATCGACCGTTGATGGGTGTGAGGGGGAAAGAATTATTGGCGGCTCGGTTGATTGAGTTTCTTCTTCAGAACTGCGAGCTGGCCCTTCAGAGTTTATATCAGAAAAAGAAATTTTTTCAGTCTGTTTATCAGAGCTTGATTTGGTGGGTGGTGCTGTTATTGGCACGGGATCACTGAAGGATACAGTTGAAGTTTCTACTTTTTTGGATGAAACTGTAGTTGCTTTATCTTGAGGCAAAGTTTCTGCAATTTTTGTTATTGATTTTGATTCTGAATTAGAGTCATGCGTAGTGCTACCTGGGACAGTCTTTTCAGTGACCATTTCTGTTTCAGCTGATTTTGATTCTGCTTTAGAGACTGGAGTAATATTTACCGATGGTTCCGTAGATTTTTCTGGTGCATCTGATACTTTAGGAGGGTCAGATATTCCTTCATTGATGACTGAGCTTCCACTAGCTGGAGTGTTTTGATCATCTGCTGTTTTCCCTTTACCTGTAGGGTTCAACTCGGTTGACGATGTAGAGGTTTCACCATCGTTTTTTGTGATACTAACTTCACTTTGCGAATCCGAATTCCTTGACTCTGGGCCTGTAGAGGTTGATGAAGATTGTTTCATTTCAGTTGTGGAGTCTGGCATTTCTGTTGTGCTGAACTCAGTTTTTTTTGGAGCTGCCGTCGAGCTTGATTGATAGACAGACGAAGTCGAACCTACCGTTGCGCTGACTTCAGTGGGATGAGTAGATAACTTCCCCACTGTGGAGGATGAAGTTGGTGCTTCTGTTGTGAACATTGTAGTTGGTTTTTCTGTTGTTCGAAGCGTGGTAGATACCTCTACTTCAGGGCGTGTAGTTTGTGTTTCGGAGGTGCTTGTTTTCGGAGCACTCGTAGTTATTTCTGCAGAAATACCTTTCGGCGAGTACGTAGTGGGTACTGTTCCTTCATCATTTTCTATTTTTCTGGTTTCTGCTTTGGTTGCGCTGCGCTCATTTGACTCATGTTCTTCAGTTGTTGTCACTTCAGAAAAATTTGAGGGGACTTTGGTTGAAGAGGGACTTGCTGTTGTTCCTTCAACTTTGCTTGTTGTGTCTTTTTGAGGTGCAACTGTAGTCAAACTTGCTCCCACTTTCATCTCAGTAAAGTTCGATTTTTCTGACTTAGAGGTGTTTGACAAGCTGGTGGGAAGCGTTGTTAATGTGACGTCTATTTTCTGGTCTGATGATACTGGTTTGATGGTTTGCGTTGAATTGTCAGCAGATGCTAAGGTTTCATTTTTCTTCAGGGAGACTCCAAGGAGGCAGGATAACTTATGAGCATTCATTTCTCCAGCGCCGCATTCATTAGCATCTCTCTCTGCGCTGGCTTCATCCTCTGAGCTGCTAACACTCATACGAGCTTTGGCCAGCTGTTTCCGTAAGAGAATGTCATTGCCACAGTCCATCTCATCCTCTATGTTCAGACAATCGACGATACCATCACACACATGCTTCAAGGGGATACACTGACCTGTGCTGCATTGTTTTCCCGGACACTGTTGTCGCGGTATCTTAGCTGGCATAGGACGCTCGTCATCTGGAAGAAAAGACACAAAAATTAAAATTTTAATGAATAGACCAAGGACATCATAGATGAGGAAAATAACTTTGAACATTTCTTATTGCAAAGCAATCAGGCAACTTTATGGATTCAATGTTAAACTGTAAGGAAAAGATTGGAAACTACAATCTCGACTTGTCAGTAAATCATTTTACACTAATTTGGTAGAGATGCTGTGTATTTTTTCCCTCTAATTAAGTTGAAGTGAAGTGACATAACAGCAAGTAAAGATTGCAGTTTGTAATGCATGCTGTGATTTTTACTGATTAGGGAATAAAACAAAAGATTTGTAGCACCAATCTTAGTAATAAGTTTTTCACATTAATTGAGCAAATTTCAATTTTAAATCCAGTTGTTTACCATGAGATTAAAATTTGCAAATGGTTATATAAGGCTCTGAAACGCCATAACTAAATTATTTTTTTGGATTTGTTCTCTTATTTTGACCGGAAAGTAAAATCTTTTGCACTCTTGAAAATTAATCAGTTTTATAAGGTGCATAAAAACGAATTATTCTAACTTAAAAAACTCTAAACAAAAGTATATTCATATCGTTTCTTAAAAAATTTTGTATCACAGATTAATCTCACCGAATTTGTTAAAGTTAAGGATTGTAATTTAAGGTCTCTTACCAGCATTTGTGACGATCCAGGTTAGGAATAGTGCTACTCTCGTGTATACTCCCGGTTCACCTGGGCGAGCACACCCTTCTCCATGACTGACCACTCCAGCAACGTACCATCGTTCAGCGGAGGTTCCAAACCTAAGAAGACGAAATCCAAACAGTGAGCAAAAATTTTCCAAGAATTTGACCGATTTTGTAGGTAAAAAGACCTTAAAACTTTTGACTCGAGATTAGATTGACGATATTTTTGCTTCAGGAAAATTTTGGCACTATAAATGATCTAGTAGGTCAAAAGAAACCAAAAAAATGACGATTTGAACTTCGCAATTCAAAAACCAAATTTGGAGAAAAGAATTTTGAATTTTGTATCTGCAATACTCAAAATTGTCCAATTAAAATACGAATTAATAACAAATTATGATGCTAAGATGAGCAAACCTTGCTAACAAGCTGCTCCTTAAGATGCCAGCAGAAGCTTTCCATTAAAACCTTAAATTTTGATTTTTTCCACGTAACTTGAGGAAAAATGTTCTCTTGAAGAATGTGTGTTGGTTCACTAGGATCTTTCCTCTTGCGAGTGGTCATGCTGAGAATGAGTATATTTTCAAGGTTAAAGTTGGGAAGAGCATACTTCTATTTGCGATATTACAAAAATCAATTCACATTTTGATTTTCGTTAAAGAATAACTGCTTTACATTTTTCCCTACTTTCCTTTTAAAAATTGCCTAGAATTTTGTTCGAAAGTTGGAGCGTAAATAGTAAAAATTTCAGTTTAAAAGACTGTTAAGTCCTATTACCATATAATAAATAAAATGTGGAATGTTTGAGATACTGCAATAAAGTTACGTACTATTCAACTTAGGCCATCAATTTTTAAAATATTCCTTCACAAATTTCAATCCCCTACTTAAAATGAAAAATTTTACAGAATAATAATTTTTTTACAAGGATCAATTGACTGTGATTTTACTAGATTCAAAACTGTCCTTTAAAATTCATTCAGTTTCAAAAAGAAGATAGATTATGATACAAACTAATCATATTTTTTTAATATCTGACAAAAACATATTCAGTTAAGAGAAAGATACACTATAAGATCGGAGTATAATGATAAAAAGAATCTTGATTTTGACTTGCCTGCACAGTAAGGGTCCACCACTATCTCCTTGACAAGTGTCTACACCTCCTTCCTCATACCCGGCACAGATTTCTCGTCCTTCCCGATCAGCTTGGTGCTTGCAGAATGGTAATATAGGGACTCGGACTTCGCGAACATGATCAGCTACAGGATTGGAACAAATAATGACACAAAATAAGAGCATAAAAACTGGCAAGACATAAAGAATAAAAGAGACAACCCCATTCAAAGAATATTATATCTATCCATTTGTAATTTATAATTTGGTGAATATATACTCCTAAAAAAGCAACAAGCAAAAGACCACCATAATTTTCATTATATATCGCAGGGCTCGCTGATTTGAGTAGAAGGTGTTTGAATCCAAATCCAAATCTTCCACTGATTTTCCCTATTCCCATTTGACACTCCTGCTAACTATTCGTTCCCCGGTCGGTGCCAACGGCGACGACTAGTTCGGATAGTTAGAGTGGAGGACGTGTCTGATCAGTTACGTCTATGGTCTATCAGTCTATGGTTTGATTAGAACCTATGCTGAGACGTTTCAAAAGTTAGGAGCGAGCTTAGAATGCACAAAAAGACACTTTCCAGAGTAGAAATCTCTTTTAAGGTGGATAAAAAATTGAAATGTTAGTTTTCATTGGAAAACTGTCTCTGGTTTCAGAGCAGAAATTGTATTATGGTACCATTAATTTTTATATCCATGCTGGGCATAAATTTACATTTTAATCCGACAATATTCCTCCCAGACATGGCGAATTACAACTCTGATTGACAAACTTCACTCATTTTTCTCAATATTTTGTTCTTGGAACCCTAACTTAACTTAACTAACTTAACTTGGTCTACTTTAATATTTTTATGCAGTGCCATACAAAACTTTTAAAGAGCACCCTTTCAAACAGTGACAAATCAATTTTAAACACATTCCTCTGATAAATTTTGTTTTAGAACTCGGAACCACAAACCATGATAACTATGGTCTGGTTTTATATTTTTGGGCACTTCCATACTAAATTTAAAAAACACTCTTTTAAACAGAGTACACATCAATTTTAAACACAATTCACTAGTCCATCTCAAAATTTTGTGTTCCTAACTTGAAATCTCAAACCACAACTATGGTCTGGTTAGATATTCATGGGCGTTTCTAAAAAATTGTTTTTAGAGAACGCTCTTTTGAACAGTGTACATACATCTTAAATTCAAACAAAAATCACTCATCTTTCTCAATTTTTTTTCCTTTTGAACTCGAAATCTAAAACCATCACAATTATGGTCTAGTTTGATATTCTTGAACGTTTCCATGCCAAAATATTTAGAGATCACGCCTCCAAACTGTGTGGTTTGCAATTTTGAGTTGTTTTAAGCATGCTCCTTTTTCTGCCAATGGCAATATAATGTAAATAGTACCAGCTCTATCATTCAAACGTAATTATTTTTGTACTCACGATCAGGACCATGTTCATGTAAGGCTCCCCAGCCAACAGCAGAACAAATTTCACCCGTTTTTGGTCCAAAGGGTGGCTTATTGAGAGGGAAACAGATTTGTCTGACCCATCGGTTGAAGATCAGAGGCCGGTCTAGTTTCAAGAGTGCCAGATCATTCCGCATATCGACTCTGTTGTAGTTTTCATAGACAATGACATTTGTCACATAACGAATCTGTCTTTGCGGTGAAAATGAGAACCTTCTAAGAACACCAGCTTGAATTTCAAAGTAATGAGTTTCGTAACTGGAACAGTACAAAGATGTTTAATTAACAAGAGTACAGGGAGAAACTTTTGAGTATTCAATTAGTTTTCAAGTAGTAATCAATAAAAGGATATGTTTCCACCAAAGAATATATGAAAACAGAGAACAAGAGCCAAATTAAGTTTCCTTCAAGTTTTCCTTTTGAATAAAGTGGCTGCACTAAATAAATGACCATTGGATTAATTTGTGACCATCAGATATTTTGAGTGACAAGATACTTGGTCAGTGTTATATCACAAAACAGCCAACACATATTTAAACATTCTCAATTATTGGTCACATTATAAAAATATACTTCACATTTCACGCCTTTGAAATAGTTACTTTGAATAGTACATAAAAAGTTGTTAAAAGTGTTAAATTGTGGATGAGAGGAGAAACCTGTTTTAACTGCCTTCAATTTGGTAAGTTTAAAAGCTTTTGAAGCTTTGAATTAAGCGTTTTTTGGCTTTTTATGTCCTTCTTCATTGTTTGCATATCCATTGTTCAACTACAAAAGCATCAAGTGTAAGTTGCCTTTTACTGGTATGGACCCATAATAAAATTTGGACTGATAATTTTTTATATGGTATAAAAGGAATGACATTATGATCATTATCTCGTTAAATTTTTTTCAAATACATACTCTTGCATGCAGTGTGCAGCGGTTAAAATCCACGACTCATCAATGATGACACCGCCGCAATGGAAATAGCCATCCCTGTTCATCAGTACCAACCATGGCCAGGCACCAGGATCACTAGGACTACCACCGACAACTCGTGCTTCTTCTTCACGAACCATACGTTTTAACGTTTCCTGCCCAGGGAGCACCGTGTCCGAATCTTCCAGTTCAGACTCTATGTCTTCCAAAACAAGGTCATCAACCGTATCGAGCAAATTAAGAAAATGATCGACTGCAAACTCATTTGACTTGTTCCGAGCACCTGGTTTTATTCCTGGCAGACGCGACTTCATAAAAGACTCATCTTTAACGATACCAGAGACATCGTTCTCTAAAACTAGGTCTTCGACTTCATCAATAACTTCGTCTTTTTCTGAGTCATCTGAGTTCAAATCACTATCAACTTCGTTGAGGGCCTGTCGCCAGTTAATGTGTTTCTTCAGTCGATTTAGTGATTCTCCTAGAATGCGGCCAACAGAGCGAGTTCCGCACTGAGGAGGAGGGCATTTGACGTAGATAGCTGAATTCCGAGGCACACAATTTGCTACTATGTAACTGCGGCCATTTGGCTGTTCAGCATTCTCGACGATAAATTGGCCTTTGTAGTTCTCAACTTTGGCAAGATTCGCTTTCTCAATGTTCCTAAAAAATAAATTAAAATATATATTAAAAGGGAGAGTACTACCTCCTTTTTCATTTTTACAAATCTACTCCTGCCTATATATTTTTCTTCATGATTTCATTTTCGTTATTTTGGAAAAATTTTGCAATTTCCTCATGTTGTGGAGGGTACTAGTCGATGTATTAATTTAAATACAATTAAAAAACCTTTAGGAGGAAATTCTCTGGCTATTACTCGAGGAAGTGATTTATGATTTGTGATGTTGTAGACTTCCAGTTATGAAATAATTTTTAATCGGAAAACTAAACACTGTAATAACTTTACTTGAATTGAAAAATTAATTTAATTGAAACTGAACAGTGATTGAATTATTTCATGATTAATAAAATCCTCTTACTTCACATGAGATCCTACTTCTAACTGACACGCTTCAACTGCCCAGCGACTGTACACATTCCAAGGACAAACAGGATACCAGTGACCTCTGTAATTGCGGTGAAGAAAACCTTTTGAGTAGGAAACCAGGAAGTCCTGTAAAAAATAGTACCATTGAATTAGGTGCTTACAGAAGCAAGAGGAATAAAAGAAACATGCAAATAAAACATATTAATGAGCATGAAGCAAATTTTTAAGATTGAACATTACACATTTGATTTAAAGAAATGTAGCCATTAACCTTAACGCAGAATCACTGACTGAAGTCTACATTAGAGTATGGTTGTTTATGGCTTCTCAAGTAGCGTTATCTCATGACAAACTTGCAAATTAGAGAGAGAAAGTTGCAATTTTTTTGCAATTTAATCCCTTTTAAATTACTGAAATCATCAACATTTAGAATCACCGCATTGGAATTGCGATGTTTTCCTGTCCATAAAAGCACCGTTTTCAAGGGATAAAATTGCAATTTTATCTCGACTTTTTTGTTACTTATAACACCAAAAATGATATTAATAAAGCTGCCATTTTATTGGAAGATCTCAAAATCTCAGGCATAGAAAAATAATGCATTTTGTCTACCGATAGAATCTCGACTTATTGAGACTCGGATTTTTGGTCAAAGATTTCAGCAATAAAGTTCAGGGTTACCCTGAGTGGTAACTTTAAAAATAACAAAATTGTAACAAACTTTCACCAATAACTTCTATCAACAGGAAATTCATTCAATGTTTACACAAGTTGGCATTGTAGATGACTATTATGCAAGTGTTCCATCAAATAATTCAAAATTTGACACAGATGATTATTTTCATTCATATTGATTTTCTTTAACCAGTGTTTTTTTTTTTCGAAGTCTGCTGATTTATTATCCGCATAGTCTGGGAATCCTCCAATCTTTACGGATCTGAAATGACGAATGAAATTGCGTCAAGCATAAGTTTGACTCACCTGATCTTGCTCTACAGTCTCGGTAAGAATAGAGCACTCTTGTTCATCTTTGCCATTCAAGCAGTCTCTCACAGTGTCACAACGCTTTTCTATTGGGACACAAGTTCCTCGAGGATTCATTTTGTTCCAGTCATCACAACTGAATTCATTCCTTGCGCAGCCTGGAAAAAATCAAGGTTACCACAATTTTTAATATATATCCGTAATTTTTTGTAAAAAAACTTATGTATACATGGGTACTGGAAATTTTTTTGCAGAATTTTGTTACAACATTTTTGAGTTTGATTACGAGGATAAAATGTAATTAATAAATTCTGAATTTTATTGAAAATCTCAAGCATTAGAATTGAATAATTTTGATTGGAAGACAGTTGGTCTAAAATTTAAACAGCCACTGCTCTCAAATAAAAGGGACAAATGTATTCATGGCAGGAAAGTGCTGTGTGAAATTTTAGTAAAAATTGAGATAATTATTTCTGGTGGAACATGTTTCAAGGAATAACAATTAAAAAATAGAAAATGGGAGTTCAGTTTTTGACTTCAAAACACCAGTCTTGATATTTTCGAACCATAAAGTACCATGAGATGTTTGATATTCAAAAACTTTTCCCCCTTCAAAATCATAAAATTTTCATTGAAAGCTTGGCCGTTTTGGAATAAGCTTAAAATGTTGAAAACCAAAATGAAATAGCCGTTTTGAGGAGCCTTTTCCTTATTTTTTGTGAAATCTTCTGTCGTTGATTCTACAGATAAGACGAAACATTTTCGAAACAACAGGTGTTTATATTCAAAAACTTTTCCCCCTTCAAAATCATAAAATTTTCCGGTTTATAGATATTTAGCAAGGAAAATTTTTCAATGATATATTATATTTTATTTTTTTTTAATTAGAAAGACAGATACTACTAGAAAATTGACAATAATGATATTGAGGAATGGAAACAAAACATGATGTTAGCAGCAAAAACATAAGAGCTCTTATTTTCGCTATCTTAGCATGTCTACGCCTTATTAGAGTTTGGTGCTTACATCACTATTAATTTCCTTCCTTCCATTTGAAAGCTTACCAAAGCAGCTCAGCTCATCTTCTCCATATGGACAATCAAAGTATCCATCGCACAGTTTTGTCCTATCAATCCGTTGTTTACATGAACATTGAGCTTCATCGCTGGCATCTGGACAGTTGGCCTCACCATCACACCATTTGATGGTTGACAGACAACTGGAACCATCTGCACACGCTTGCTCAAACGGTGAGCACATCACACCACCTGAGAATACAGTTACAATTTAGTTAATTTTAGAATAAAATACATACAATGGGTAGATGGGTACAATAGGAAATATCGAAAATTTCCACTCGAAGACAATACTATTTCAGCAGGATGAAAGGAAAAAATATTCGAAGCAAAAAGCTTGAGCACCAGTTTTTATTGCTTCCTAAGATTCAAAGTGCTGAAGAATGACTAAGATAAAAAAAAGTGGATGTAACTTGAGCTACTAAATGGTAAAAACAATTAACAATCAACTTAATTAAAAAATATCATCATTATTGAAGCCCAAATATTTGGCTTAATGCACCGTTTGAAAACTCAAGACTATTGAAATAAAAATGTATGGATCAATAAATTAATTCACTGATTATATCTTGGTATAGTTGGACCGATTATTTTCCGATTGATGTGAGAAGGACTTTCACAAACTGAATAAAAGCAAGAGGAAGAATATTATCCAATTAAATAGTCAGTATTATAAAAAAAGTACACTCCATCTATCATACTTTTATTAAACTGCTGATATTGGCGACAGATTGAGTGATACTTTTTCTTCTACATTTGTCGATTTTGTGAAAGTGATGCCTTTTTTAATTGGGAAAAACTGTTTCAATTCGAATGATCAAATTAAACTGCGACATCCATAAAATAAATACCGGACTTTGACTTACTCAGAAGGAAGCTTGAGGCACGCCCGGTTGCATTTGATCCATGTACATTCCTCAGATAAGGAAGATCTTGAAATTCAGGGACACCATATTCCGATATTCCGGAAATTGGAGGTGACGCATATACATTCCCAGCATATGGAAGAGCATACCCAAAAGCAGGAGGCGGATTGTAGTAATTCGAGAAGATACTCCAGTACGGTGATGGCCCTGCATACCCACCCATGGGGCTGTGAGCAGGCGCACTTGGTGCATAAGATGCAGGAGCACTTGGTGCATAAGATGCAGGTGCACTTGGTGCGTAGGATGCAGCACACTGAACACAAGTTTTTCCTGGAATTTGAGATCCCTGGTAGCCTGACGGACTGTGGTAAGGGTTGGGTGACGCTATGGCTGTTGGGAAATGAATTTCTTGCGGGGTGTGGACATTTAGAACATGTTCTTGTGGCGCACGATGAGGAATCGGCTGAGAAAATCCAGCATTACAGCAAGGAAGCGCTTGTTGCGGATAGTAACAGAATGACCCGTCCGGCCTACAGACCAATTTGGGCGGGGAGTAGTAAACTTGTTGGCTGGTCTCCAGCGAATGAATTGGGTTGTGCAGTACTTCATCCGTTATTTGTGAATTGTTGGAGTGGCCATGGAGGCTGGGCTTCGAAGGTGGAGTTGTGCCCTGGTACTTGGGGGTAGACGGTAGGTATTTATCATCTTCTATAAGATTCGCAGGGGATGCAGATTCGTTCGGATCAACTTTTTGGGGTGTGACAACCGGAGCAGGAGTAAAGATAACTTTATCATCCTCAAACGGTGTTGTGACTATTTCTTTATTCAGCTCGTTTTCTACAGAGTGAATGAAGGCTACGTCAGAGTCCGTGTTACCAGGCTGGTCTTCGGGTCGAGGCTCGCTGATCATCCCCTGGCTGTAATTCGTTTGAGTGACAGGCTCGGGTTCCACAGTAGCAGGCTCGTATTTTTCCGGAACTGTTTCCGCAACATCTTGCACTGTTGTGACGGGAGCTTCACTTGGTTTGTGGGTTTCATTAATGGCAGTAGTTGTTGGATTTTCACTAACTTCATGCACTTGGCGGGTGACTGTTGTAATAGGACTTTCACTTGGTTCGTTTATTTCATTAGGGGCTTTGGTTGAAAATGGTTTTTCAGTGGAATTTGGTGTTTCGGTGTTTGCCTCTGTTGTAGCAGGATTCTCAATTGGCTCATTAGTATTATAAGTTGGCTTTTCATTGATAGGATTTTCAGTTGTTAGCTTGCTTGTGGAAGGTGAGACACTTGATGGGGAGGTGAAGTCTAGATCATCCGTTAAAATTTGCGTCAGGTTGTCAATTAATTCTGAGGTCTCAGCCACAGTTGTTATGTGACTTCCATGGGGCAAATCTTCGGGTGGGTGTGTAACATCGAGGCCATGTGTGCTATTTTTTTTGCTGTTTTTCAAATACTCTAGATAAGCTGTGATTTTTTCAAAATCATCTTTAAAATTTTCGATCAGTGTGGTCAAATTGAGCAGCTTTTCCTGACATTCTCCGACATCATTGCATAATTTTTTCAAGGAGTCTATCGTGGTTGATAACTCTGTCTCATTAATTACGGCATGTCTTTTTTCTCTTAGTAAACTCACTGAGTTGCGACCTGTCGCAGTTTCAGGATCAACTTTGATGCCTATTTTTTCGTGAGAAAGCTTTTTACTTACGACTAGATTCTTTCCTTTTGGAGGGGAAAGATCCAAGGAATTAGGGGAATACTCCGACTTATAATAATTTTTATTGAGCTCTTCAGTGCTTCCAACCGTCAGGGAAGGTGAGCTTATAGAATTATGCAAACTTCTGTAGAGTTCTCTGATAGTTGAATTGTCATCAGGAAATTCTGGAAAAAGAGAGAGCAGGAACTAAATAAATTCAATCAAATTTGGAGATTTAAAACAGAGGGACATCTAGAGATTGAAATCAGAGACTTGATAAAAAAGTAATTCTGTGTGTCTAGTTGTATTAGAGATAAAATTTCTACCCAATGGCATGACTCACTAGGCGCCGGCCCGCCCGCGGACTGTATTTCTAGGCCCCCCTCAATACCCCCGGGCTTGATTAAGGGATTATATTTAATTTTTTCTTTTTTTTTTAAAAAAAAATTCCAGCTGGGAAGTAGGAATCTTATGGCCGTGGGTCCTTCTGCATTGCGGGAATGTGGGCCCTTTAAATAAATAAATCTTGTTCAAAATATCTAAGAAAGCAAATTAGTTTGGTGATTAACTCAGTTTGATCATGAAAAACTAAGGCCCTCTTGAATGTGAAGTATCTTACATAAAACATTAATTTTTACAAAAAACTTACCATTTATAGAACTAATGTAGTAAAATATACTAGCTGTTAGAGCTGATAATATACATATGGTGATAAGAACGAAAAGACAAGCAGATCTCCTGCAGTTTGTTTTCGATTGAATAATTTGACGACATTCGTAATCTGGGCTCCGCCATAGATTACCTGTTGAAATCAAAAGAAAAAGTTACTTTGAGCATTGAACACATAAATTCTGGATACATGCTGAGATATACTACCTGTGGCAGTCCTACATCATAACAAAGAGATATTTAAAAAAAAAAAACAAAAAGGCAGGGATGAAACTAGAAAATAAAAATTAAAGACCAACATGGGACGTTACTCCTGTTTCTCAGGCATTAATAACTAACTTGATGATATAATTTATGATTTATTTATTTATTAATATTATTTTTTTTTTTATTTTATTTTTTTTTAAAACAAACTAAAGCTAAAATGCCCGGCTTATGGCGATAGATATTATCTGGCTTAACTTTAATTTTCCAGCCTCGTCTCCCTGTTGATTCTTTTTCTTTCCATTTTCTTTTTGTTCATTTCATGGATATGGTTATGATTTTTTATGAGTCATAACCTTTGCAAAGGAAAAAAAAATCTGATTTACCTACCAATAATGTAATTTTTTACTATTTATTTCTTATGTAAATAAGTAAAACTAACGCTCCTGAGATCAATTGACTTGAAGTTGTGACTTCGATTTAGATGTTGAGAATTCTAATTTTTCAAGAATGTAATCTAGGGTTGTGTAGTTTTTAACTCTTTTAACTCTTCAGTTTCTACAGCAGGGCATACCATTAAAAAATTCTACAGAGTGATCGAGATTACTTATGTTACAATGAGAAGAAGGGGGCGGGGAGGATCAAAATTTTCAGATATACAAGGTGTCTATCCTGCAGAAGAAAAACATGAGTATCAAAACTTACAGGATTTGTTTTCAAAAGAGAGATGAGCTGTGTAGTCAGGGGTGATAATGCGTTTGAACCTTATCTCTGTTGCCTCTCCATCAGCAGAGTTTGAATTCATCATCTGAAACAAATTAAACAGAGAGAAAACATTCAGATTACTGATGAATTGAAATATTTCATGCATCATATAAATATGCCGCACTATAACTACTATTCTAGTCATTTGTCATCCAGGGGCCCAAGGGTCTGGGTCTTTTTTACATGGGTGGCCTGATATCAGCTCTGAGGATGTGATTTGTTTCTCGTGCCGGTGCTCTTTCTACCTAATCTCTATATTGAAGGAGAACAAGGTTTTGAGTATACAAAAGAATGATTCCCCTTCATTTAAAACATTAGGCAAAATACGACTCCCGCGTCGAACTAGTCGCACTTTTAAAGGTGATCATGTGGATTGCATTTTGCAAAAAGGAACCAAGATCATTCCAATGTTGCAATTTATATTCTTTGCAATTAAAGTACTGGAATCGTGCAAAAAATGCAATTGATCGAGGTAATTTTCGTATTGAATCTATACTTGATTAGGAGTATATAAGAATAGTTTCAGTGGCGTAATGGACTTCCGCTGGGCCCCCCTGCAAAATTTTTTCTAGGCCCCCCCCGTCGATAAAACTCCAAAATCATCCCCCATTCTGCCCCTCTACTTCCCTCACCCCTTCCCGTTTTTTGGCCCGAGACATTTCAAATCACGGACTTGGACTTGGAATGCCTCTCACCTCACCGTCCCGGATCCCGTACCCGATTAAATGGGGCCCCTAAAGGATCAAGGATCTAAAGGGTGGCGGGGGCCCAGCCCAGGCCCAAGGATCTACAGAAGGGCCCATACAGGCCCAAGAATCGAGAAAATGTTTAGTAATCACTGAGTGGACATTGGAAGGCAGGGGCCCTCCCGCAAAAAAAAAGTTAGAAACAGTCCAAAAGAAGTATGAAAAACCCTGAGCTAACGATAAAAATCAGCAGAAGAAGGGCCATCTCGGTAAGTAAAGGCCCACAGTTTGAAACCAAAGCTAAAGCCGTATTTTCCTCCAAACTGGCTCGGAGCCAGTTTGGAGGAAAATACGGCTTAAGCATCAAAGAGACAGAGAGAAAAAAAAATTCCGGCGGCCGAGGGCCGCGAGGGCCCCCTAGGCGCTTGGGCCCCCCTGCATAGCAGGGTCTGCGGGGGCGCCCGTTACGCCACTGAATAGTTTAGATTATCAGTTTATATTTGCAAGGTAAAAAGAGAAGCACAATCTTAGCGACAGTGGAATGCTCTCGGTTCCTTTTGGCAAAATGCAATCCATGTATGCTTCATGCTTTTGCGGGATTTTCAATTTGAACGTAATGAAACACCAAAAAGGACGGCGGGAAAGAGGATGGGCCATGATCGAGGCGAGGAGGGTAGGGAGGAAATTTGCCCTATCCTTCATGTATTTTTGATTCGAGCTTTATTTTGGCCACTTTCGGTAAATTTTGAACAATTTAAGATCTTTCCCGCAACTCTGAAAGTTTAACCTCTCCAAATAAATACCTCCCACCCTACTCTACGATAGGGCTAATTGCCTCCCCTTGCTTAAAGATAAGAAAGGAAGGATGGAATGGAGAAACGGATCAGCACAACAGAATTTAAGGCACATGAACTTTCACGAAAATGTTCGCAAAATTGAGCAATTTTTCACTCTTTCCTCGGAATCTTACCAAAGATTTTTACTTCAATTCCTAAATACGCAACAAGTTTAAAGTTTTCTCGGCTTTTTGAAGTTTTTTTCCTCAGTCTCAGCGCTCCGGATAAAATTAGCGGAATTTTTAACAGCCGAGTTCTCGCGTTTATTTACAAACAAAATTTCCCGTTACCAAAACACCGCATCATCCTTTCGGTGTTTTAATCCTCACTTAGCGCGAACCATCGATTTTTTGAGTCACAATTACCTACCTGCCGATTCATCCCCCAGCAAGAGGGTGCTAATCCCCTCCCCCCCCCCTTAACCAAATTTCAAGAGAGGAGAGCAGAGCAGAGCATAAATGCAACTCGATGCTGCTCACCTTGAAGGAAAGCCTGTCTGTGGAGTGGCAAATCTGATGAGATAACTATTCGTACTCTCCGGTAGTCTATTTTGCCTATCCTAGTATTTGAAGGCGTTTTGCACTTACCCACGGCAGTATTCAAAGCTTACAGTTCTGGGAGTTCACGTGAAAAACTTTCGACAAGATCAAACTCTCTACGCACCAAAGAAACAAAGAGCTTTACAAAGAAAAGAACGGAACACTTGAACAGTAAATTGGATGGATTAAATTCAAGCAGAATTAGTCCAACTGCAATTAACATTGCCTAATTTCCTCGCATATAATTTTTTAACGAAGAACTAAACGAGATAATACCTTGAGATTTTCCGTGAATCAACCCTAGACTATTGAAAATAACTTAAAAAGTATCAAGGTCGAATCACAGTGCTTAGTTGTCTGTTAAATATATAAAACACGGGAGAAAATTAGGCAATGACTGATAGTTCCTAAATTTTGGTTGAATTCGATCCAAAAAACGAGAATTAAAGCTGAAACGAATTGCGCACAGTTCACTTGTGCCGACTGAAGCAACCAAAAAATCCGAAAATGTGGTAGGTGAAAATTTTCTGAGAGTTGTCTAGCCTTATTGGCGCTAACTGTGTCAAAAATAGGGCATTGTATCAAACCACGCTTCAAATTGTTTCGTGTTTATATTCCAATAATATGATCGAGCATTTCAAAGCAGTCGCGGTTTCCTGAGAAATTCTTTGAGACTACGTGGGCTCATTCGAAAACCGCCGAAAATTTGTCATACGAGCTGGCGCTCAAATTCTCAAAATTAGATCATCAACTCGTGCATCAGAGCATCAATGAGTTCATAGCTTCAGACACAAGTCATAGATACCGAAATGCGATCGTGCGCAAAATCTCGACCAGCTTCGGATTTCTCCGATCGTCTTCATTTGGAGATCTTCAGGTCTGAATAAGAAGAATAACAAGAAAATAATCCCGTGAAATTTTTTGCAACGCAGATGGTTTCATGCGGAATCCCCTCTGATTGCCTCACTTTCACGACACACAAAACAATGCTGAAATGAGGCCGCTCGAAAAATAGGTAACGCTTTAGAGGGGGTAGCGTAGGATTATCTGAACCTATATTCCGGGTGCGTTACACGGTGGAAGTTAAGGGCTGTATCCCAAGTAGCACAGTGCAACGAAATGATTGAAATTAAATTGCAAGTTGGTTTCAATAAAATTGTAATTTTTTTACCATTAAAGTGCAATATTTTTACAACATGTAGTCGATTTATGTCAATTTTAAACAATCAACAAAATGAGCTCCATGTGTCGGAAAGATACGCAATATGCAATGCGATGAAAAATTGCGACTCGTCTCAAATTTATTGCAATAAGTGTCAGTAAATGGGGCCCCTTCAAATAGAAGCTAGGCAACATACACAACACTCAGTGGAATTGCAATATTTTTACCATCTGTGCTACTTAGGGTTAAGTAACGCCACAGTGGATGAGCCACAATCGGCTACACGTCTCAAATCGAGATACGTGTTTTTTGACTCAAGAGCCGCTGTGATACGTAACACTGGAATTCGAATTCTCCTCCCTTTCGCTCCCCCGTAATGCACCCGAAACACGGGTTCCCTTAAAAAAACCTCCCTTTCAGGAAAAAATTACGAAACGCTCAATTCGCCGACCAACCAAGTAGCGTTTTGCAGTGAACTTTAATCAAACATTGCCACTTTGCGTTAATTTTTCATACCAGGTTTTCGAAAAATGTGTGCTAAAGTTCACTGCAAAACGCTACTTGGTTGGTCGGCGAATTGAGCGTTTCGTAATTTTTTCCTGAAAGGGAGGTTTTTTTAAGGGAACCCGTGTTTCGGGTGCATTACGGGGGAGCGAAAGGGAGGAGAATTCGAATTCCAGTGTTACGTATCACAGCGGCTCTTGAGTCAAAAAACACGTATCTCGATTTGAGACGTGTAGCCGATTGTGATCGAATTTTATTTTTTCGATAAAAAAATATGCAGATTATTCCTTGAACTTTTCACTGGGTTTTGCTGGTTTATGCGGCAAAAATATCAAACATTGAAGTTCACCCGTTTTTGTTTCATAAGATGGAGACTTTGAGACGTCACAATCGAGGTAGTGCTTTTAACACCACCTATTAGACATGATAGATATTTTAGAGGGAGAGGTTGAGGAAACAGAGGAGTAAAAACTCGCGAGCTCTTAAGGGACATTCAATTATTTATAACGCACTTTTTTCGTTTTCCTTGAGACCCCTAAACCTTACGATGCACCCTTAACGCAAACTCGGACCCCCCGCGGCCCCGCCTTTCATGGATATGGTAATACAAACGAGAACGCCTCCGTGTCCTTCTCATTTGTGCAGGCTTCGGAATGATATGAGGCCCAAAAAATTACGATATTCTTCAAAGGATCGTTACCTGACAATATCCCTTTAAGCTCCTCCTTTTGACTCTAATCCCTTCCTCTGCTTGCGTTACGAGCTGCTTAAACGAGGGAACTAAATTTTTGGTTTATTTTTTAGACAATAACGCAATGAGTTATTAATTTCCTTTTTCAGCAAGATGCTTAAAAAATTGAAACAGAAAAGTTGGTTCTTTCCGCGAGATGCTTAATGCGATTCAGACTGAATTTGTGTGAAAAACTTATTCGAAACCCATGATTAATGTTTATACATAGTTGTTTAGTCATGCGTGCAGACCAAACTTAACTAAATTTCGAGAGAGGAGAGTAGAGCAGAGCAATAATGCAACTCGCAGCTGCTCACCTTGAAGGAAAGCCTGCATGGGGAGTGACAAATCTGATGAGATAACTATTCGTACTCTCCGGTAGTCAATTTTGCCTATCCTGCTATTTGAAGGCGTTTTCCCGTGCGCACGCTTCACGTAGTTACTTTAAGCTCAGGACCATCGTGAGGGTGAATTGTTAAATCCCTCCCTCCCTTAGACTAATGAATGAAGGGAAGAAAAAGAAGAGAGGGAGGAGAGGAGGAAGAAGAAGGAAGAGAGAAGTATGAAGAGGAAGAAGGAAGAGAGAAGTATGAAAAGGAGGAGTAAGGAAAAGAAGAAGAGGAGGAAGAGGAATAAGGAAAAGAAGAGGATAAAGAGGAAGAAGAGTAAGAAGAAAAAGAGTAGGATTAAGGGGGAAACAAATGTAAGAAGAAAAGGAAGACGAAGTTGAAGAGAAAAAAGAGAGAGAGAAGAAGCGGAATAGATATGGGAATCTCTGAGAAATTAAATAATTTAAAAAAATGCGAAATGCCCCCTCCCCCCCAAAAGGTCTGTTTAAGTTAATGCGTTGGTCAACCTCGGTGTCCTCCTACACCGCCGTCCTGTGCAAGATCGACGTATGACCATTCAAATGTCGCAAAAGTTCCCCTGATAAAACATTCATCATTGAGGAAAGTTTTGAGTGTATTTCTTGCTGATTTTCGAGCGCCAAAAAAATTTCCAATTTTACTAAAAATTCACATTTTGTTGAGGAAATGAGTTAACGTCGACGTCGTTCATGCGGTATATTCCTTCAAAGCGGTAGAATAAGGCACAGCACACTGACCTCATTCTCCGTTCGAAGAAAAATGACGTTACTGAGTCCTAACATAAACTTCGTAATGAGAGGAATCAGCTCGTTTAGGTCATTTCGAGAAAAAAAAATTACCTTTTACTAATTTCCTGATTTAGATAGATGATTTCATAAATGGGTGGTCGACTTTTCGAAAAAGATTCAAAGAAAAGTCAGCGTCCTTGGGGGAAAACTTTGAAGGAGGTCGAAACATTACTGTCTGTCGTTTTGTAAAACCGTCAGATGACGGAGAGAAAGTTGTGATATTGGATCGATGTTTTTTTTTTTTATTATTTAACTTTTTTCATGATATAATCATGACAAATGACCTATTAATAAAATAATGTCCATAGCTCCAGGTAATTTACTGTAAATCGATAAAATAATTGTGCACTACAAAGGAGAAGCGAAAGGGGAAACACCGAAGAATGTATAGGTACTGCAACATTGGATTACATATTATCATATTATATTGGTGGCAAGTGTATGAATGAGTGTTGAACGGGTTGCATACAAACTGCGAAAAAATACAAGAGGGTCCAACTTTCTTGTAAAACCTTCCTGAAAAATCTTCGAAATGATACGATACACTTAGATCCCTTTTATTTCGGTATTTTGTAAACATATCAACGACAAACCGTAAAATTTTTGGTTCTTAATTCAATAAATTGAAACCAGAAAAGGTAGGTATTTCAACGGTAGGTACGCACCTTCAAGTTAGCAAAGGATCCTTATAATTTGCGCATGTGGCTGAAAAACACGAACACCATAACCGCACACCCACAAAAATACATGAACTCGGGAAATCGTTTACGACACCATTGTTACGAAATATTTACAAAAGTGATAATAAAACAGGGAGCGTTGCCGCCTGTCAACTGCGCTGGCGGAAGGAGGTTAGGAAAAGAGAGAGAAAGACAAGACACTGGGCGACGGACGTTATTTTTTCTGCTGATGCCGGCTGAAACGGCCGCAACGTCAATTCCAAACAACCGGTGAATTGCTGACCTAAAAACCGGCGGACAAAGCGCACGCAGATTGGGCAATTCGAGAGCTGAAATCGTAGCTTCGGAAAAACAAAATTCTGTCACCCGCCTTCGAGGTGGTCGCCGACTCGCCGCGCCGCCGGCCGATGGACCTCAGATCGAGAGGGCGTCCACCGGGGGGAAGGGGGGGTCGGTTTTTAGTGATTTTGGTGAAAAGCTGACCCCTGGTTTATGACAGATTTTCCGACTGAAAATCGAGGACTTCCCTGGTAGGGTCGATCAGCATGATACAACGAGAATTGGTCAATTCTCCTACATCGACGGCGTAAGTCCGCAATCACATATCTCGTTGGCGGTGTCTGAAAATCTCCGTCTCTATGTTATTTTTTTAAAGGAGAAAAAATTGACATCATTCCTTGAAGTTTTTGCAGAATTTTCTTCGCACCGAGAGGAAAAATTACGGCAGTTTTAAAGAATTGCCGTTGAGTAGTTTTCCGTTTAAAAAATAAAATATGACAGGAAGTCTGCGACTTCGCAAACCGAGTTATGTGATCGCCGACTTACACCGTCGATATGATATGATATCATTGCGGTATCAGTACGATATCAGCAAATCTGTGATATCATGCTAGTTCTATACTGATATCATGCTATTTTCCTCTACTAGCATGTTGTCATACTGATATCATGTTGGGCCAGCATGATGTCATACCGATTCGGCATGATCGGCTTTACCAGGGTTACATGAATTTTCCAGGGGTATTGATTCGTATAATCAAGGACTCCCAGGATCTGGCAAAAATGTCCAAAAAATTCAAGTTCTTTTCAAGGCGTGCAAGAAAAATTTGAAGGTCTTGAAAAATGGATAGGTTTTCTAATTTTTAGGCTCATGTGTCTTAGGATCTGAGGTACCCTCCATGCCAAGAGGCAAATCGACGGTACAGGAACGTGCTTATACGCTTTCCCGCCATATTTAATTTTAATTTTATTAATGGGAAAAATAATAAACGCCACTTCTTGAAAACTGCTCCGACTTTCCTATCTAAGTAAAGAATTTTCTGTGAAAATGTCAAGCAACAGCGTTGATTTTTCTAGTAGAGATATAAGATTCAAGGACTCTTAAGTACATTCCGGTCATTTCTTAACACTCAAAGATATTCTCACTCAAAATTCGAAAAAAAAAACAGAGAAACGGAAAAAACAGGAAGTGTGCAACGGTGCAGAACAGAACGGAACGAAATAAAATGGAGCAAAACAAGTAGAATGGATAAAAATTTCGAAGGTTCAGTATAGTTCCTCACTTCTCCTAATTTTTCTTCTTCTAATATTTAAGACTTGAAAATGAGAACTATTGCATTGTAGGATTGATTTGATGTGAATCCGAAAAAAGCTTTCAAGAGATAAGAGAAAGAACCCGAGTTAAAAATTATGCAAACAACCGATTCAATCCAGAAAGTCTGGAACAGACTATCGTGTAATGAGTCGACTTAAACACGGTTCCTGGGTCACCGACCGAAAATGCATAATTTGTTAACGCAGCATGGCTTCCCCCGCTAGTGGCGCCAAGGATCTTTGGATGGATCTTCTTCCGGCTGAAAGTTTACGGTCGATGACACAGCGTAAGTCAGGTAAGACCGCAAGACTCGACGAAGACTGCCAAAAAAAACAAAGGTTGAATAATATTGACGCGTTACTTGATTGCTCCTAGAAACGTCTGACAACCGGCTTTGTTTCTTTTCAAACTTTATTTTAAAACAGACATGAGACACGAGTGTTTTTGCACTGGTGTTAAGAGTCAACAGTAGCGTATCAGGGTTAACTATGATTTGATTGATCTGCAATTTAAACCTATGGAAAAAGGATCGATTATTATCAGGGTGTTCGCAACGAATACCTTGATAGTCGCTCCTTTATTTTAGCTTCAAATGGGAAAATATCGACGGCTGCTGATTCAAGATTTGCCACTGATCGTGAGTCAGCGTTCAACAGGGTGACGATTAAAAAACGAGAATACTCTATCTAGATTGGAAGTTTTGATATAGGATATACAATTTATTATGTAGGATAGAATGTGTTGGTCAAGGATGCTTAAGAATTTGGAGAGTGTGCGGAAAGAGCGACAAAAACCCGAAAACACAAATTACTGGAAAAACCTCACAAGACTCCATTAAAACTCAGAGGCAGTTAAAGGTTTTTAACTAACTCACCTATAACAGGATTACATTTTGCAGTGAGGAACAGCTATTTTTGGCTCATTTTAGAAACAACATATCGACGGTGAAACTATACCAAACCACGTATCTCGTTTGCGGTGTTTAAAAATCTACGATCGCATTTTATTTTTTTGAAGTAGACCAAATCAATATCATTCCTTGAAATTTTCACAGAATTTTCTCCGCACGAAGAGGAAAAATCACAGAAATTTTCAAGACTGGACGTTAAGTAATTTTTTATTTAAAAAATAAAATATGACAGGAAGTCTGCGACGTCGCAAACCGAGATACGTGGTTTGGTAGTTTCACCGTCGATATGTGCCATTGATGACCTTAATGGGTGATTTTATGGATGAGTCAGAAACAGAATGGTTCTTCATTGCAAAAAGTTGTCCAAACGTCTGATAAAACATTTATTTTTTGAAAAAATGTAGGAATATTTTCCTGTGAGATTTTTAAATACATTAGATGTACATTAAAAATTCCTTAAAATGTGCAAATCATTGTATACCTAGACTTTCAGAAAAGTCGTATTTTGAGTATAGTATTTGTTTCCAAGAAATTTAGGTATGATCTTGACATTGACGTTGACCCTAACATTAAGACAGTGCTTCTGATGAAAGCGAGTTCTTAGCCACGGCGCGCAGAATCCTTGATATTAAAATTTAATTGTTCAATAATGAGACTCCGCAATCAAAAGAAATTCTTTCAGCTCGTTTAGCATGCTATGTTTGATATCCGGGGAAGTAAAATAGTTGCTCGAAGATAAAACGAACTTTCAACTACGACGCCTAAAGTCGCGCCTCTTTAATCACATCTTAAACTGCAGAGAACAGCAATCACATAAAGTTCCTTCAATTCTGCGGGTATGCAATTTGATCTCTGGGGAGTTAAAATAGTTGCTCGAACTCAAAACGGACTTCAAACCACGGCGCGGCGCCTGGCGCAACGTTTTTAACTAAAGTCCTGGGCTGCAGATCACCGCAATCACAAAGTTCCTTCAATTCATTGGATATGCAATTTGATCTCCGGGGAGTTAAAATAGTTGCTCGAACTCAAAAAGGACTTCAAACCACGGCGCGGCGCCTGGCGCGACGTTTTTAACTGAAGTCCTGGGCTGCAGATCACCGAAATCACAAAGTTCCTTCAAGTCATTGGATATGCAATTTGATCTCCGGGTAGTTAAAATAGTTGCTCGCACTGCTCTTAGTCAAAACAAAGTTCCGTCTACTACCTTCGGCCAAATTTTCAGGAAAAAGGGGGACATTTCTCCCCTCATGCGTCTTAAGATAATTAGGTGTAACTCACGATCACGGTTTTTAAGACACGATCAAATTACGAGCCTACACAGATGTAATCCATGACATTTTCAGCCTTGTCATTAGTTCGTGCGGTGATTATAGGTAACCCAGCTTTATAATTACTGTTCTCCCATAATGTTTTGCTACGGTTAAGGTCGTCTATTTCCACACTATTCTATCAAAAATACTAGCTAACACAGGAATTAAGAGAGACGCCCCAAACCAACTGCTATTTCATGAAAGCACCGGGACTGACCGTGTTGGATTAGAATTTCTTCTGTTATTGACAGGTTTGCCAGAAGCCAGGTAAGAATTGAAACCAGAATCGCAATAGTTTCTCTGTCGTGGCGAATCTCCGAAATCTAAAAAGACTTATCGACGGTGAAAGTCGGCAATCACATAACTCGGTTTGCGACGTCGCAGACTTCCTGTCATACTTTATTTTTTAGATGGAAAACTACTCAACGGCAATTCTTTAAAACTGTCATGATTTTTCTTCTCAATGCGAAGAAAATTCTGCAAAAACTTCAAGAAATAATATCAATTTGTTCTCCTTTAAAAAAATGACGTAGAGGCGGAGATTTTCAGACACCGCAAACGAGTTATGTGATTGCCGACTTTCACCGTCGTTATGCTTCTTAAAAGAGGTAGGTACGAAAAAAAAATAAAATTTCAGCCCTTTTAACTTTTATCTGCTCAAACGGCCCGCCATAATATTTGAGCCATAAACAGCTACATGCAGCCGAATGGCTGAGCCAATCAAAAATATTAATCTTGCAGTGCCCCTGTCCCTGCTCTCCCTATATAGGTACTCTAAAGGGGCCAAGGGTCTATACGTGCTATTACGTATTGTATGTTCACAAATCGTGTACGTCATTTCTATTCTATGAGCATTGCATTTCCAACTTTTGAAATGAGTTTTGAACTAGCTTCGATCGGTATTTTTACCAATAGCTAAATTTTCGCAGTAAGAGTCATACTCCCTTCCTAAAAATAAAAATTGTTCTGTGTTACGCCTTGTCTCCACGGGACGTTTTACGAGATTTTCCCCAAGTTCGAATCACAGGAGGGAAACTTCTGGGCTTTTTTTGTGTTAAACAACACGACACAATTTCTTCTTCTTTTTAAGTCGTTCCTGGGACTTCACAAGAGCTCTTAGTTGATACTGTAATTAGAATTGACTAACTCAATATTTTTCCTAACTTCGCTGGTTAGATTTTTCCCTGGGTCAAATTCCATAAAACGTCGTGTGAAGACAATGCCTTGCTGAGAGCACCGTGAGAAGCCCAAAACCGGTGGACCAATCAGGAAGCGGCGCAGTCTCTGAATTGGCGCGCGCGCGGGAATTTCTACAGTATGAAAACACGCGCACAGTTTCAAAAAGACGCGGCGGGAAACAGGCCCGCTGAAGACGGGAGAGGTGCACTAGCGGCCCTTGAC